AAATAAACAATCAATACAATTAACTATTACTAAATTTATATAGGTCACCCAAAAGAATCAAGAGAAAAGGAATTAAATTTCTCCTTCTTAAAGTAGGTACTCTGATTACTATCTCCGTTTTATAGATGAGGAAACTGAGGCTCTGAGCATGCAGGCAATGGTCACACAGGTAGTAATGGTAGAGGTGGGATTTGAACTGAGACGGTTGGGCTCCACAGACTGGGCAATTATCCACTAATATGCTGCCTCAAACATCCAAAGCCAGTACTGATCGGTGTCATTTCAGACAAATGTGCCTTCCCCAGAGTATTTTGTTTTCAGTAATTGGGAGTGCACACCAATAATAAGGTGAGACTTTATCAGGACTCAAATATAAGGGCAAGATTTTGGGGGAAACCCCTCACTTCATATGCAGACATATACTGTAAATTCTAAATGGAATTGATGAGAATTGCTAAAGAAAGTCTTCATGGATGTTACTGAGTTTTTGTGTGTGTGTGTGTGACCGGTAAGGGAATCGCAACCCTTGGCTTGGTGTGGTCCGCACCGCGCTGAGCCAGTGAGCGCACCGGCCATCCCTATATAGGATCCGAACCCGCGGTGGGAGTGCCCCTGCGCTCCCAGGGCTGCACTCTCCTGAGCCAGCCACGGGGTCGGCCCGATGTTACTGAGTTTTAATCAGGTTTTAGAAAGAAAAGAACTATATTGACTGAGATCCAAATGTGTTTCTTAACTCCTAGGCATGACCTACTATTAGGCTAGTCTTTAGGTTTAGTACTATGAGAAACTGTCCATGTGATTCAGTGTGACATTTCCTGGGCATCTGGCTTGACTAAGCTCTCTAGCGAGCCCTAGCCCTATATGGTTAATAGTGTGCATTCAGCCCCCATGTCTTTTATATTAGATATAAGCAGCTGCAGAGCACTTTCCCTGTCTCTGACAGGCCCTGAAGACGTTGAATCCTGCCAACTCTTACAGGTTCATGGGGACGGAAGCCTATGCGGAGAGCATTGACAGGACCATGATGTACTATGGGCTGCCATTTATCCAAGAAGCCGATTTTCCCTTCAACAATTACCTTGCCAGCCTAGACACTCTTTCTGGGAACAGTGTGTATGAGGTTATCACATCCTGGATGGAAAACATGCCAGAAGGAAGATGGTCTAATTGGATGGTAAGTCCTCCTGCCCAGTGCAGCATATATTGTGTGGTTGCACTTGATGGATCGCCACCTCTAAAATGAGATGGACGTTTGTCTCTAAGTGACCTTCTAGTCTAATGTTATTCAGTGATTGTTCTGTGGTCAGGCCTTTCCCAGCTTCTGACCAGGTTCTTGTCATTAAGGGGGAGACACTGTCCACTCGATTGAATGAATATTTAGTATTTGTCTTTGCTTAGAACTCTACTAGGCTTTGTGAGAGATGGATATCAAACCATAATCCCCCCACATACCCTGGAGTTTATGATCTCAATTGGAAGGAAGAGGATTTCAGTCATGGACGGGGTACACAGCAATTCAAGGTGGACATAAAACAGTGACGAAACACCATTTTGTTGGGCAAGATGCTGTAGAAAAGGTATTTAAACTATAGAGATTCTGGAGGGAAAACTTTCTTCTTCCAAACAGAGGCTAAATATGACATCCTTGTTAACTGAGACAGCCTTACATTTTTGAAGATTGACAATATGTTGCTTCAGTGAAGAAAAAAAGATATAGTGATTTATACCTGTGATAACAAACCTACCTTCTCCTTTTCACATCTATCAGGGTGCTGCTTTCAAGATTCTTTCTGTGTCTTTTGACAGTTTGACTGATATGTCCAGGTGTGGGTCTTTTTGATTTTCTCCTGCTTGGAGTCCATTGAGGTTCTTAGATGTGCAGATTGTTCTACAGTAAATTTGGGAAGTTGTCCATTATTTTTTCAGATATTATTTCTGCCCCCCTCTCTCTCCTCTCCTTTTGAGACCTACACTGTGCATATATTGGGGTGCAAGATGGTGTCCCATGGGTCAGCTCATTTTTCCTCATTCTTCTTTCCAGTTCTCAGACTAGATACTTTCAATTGACCTATCTTCAAGTTTTCTGATTCCTCTGCCTGCTCAAATCTGTCAAGCCTCAAAACTCAAGTGAGTTTTTCATTTCAGTTACTGTACTTCTCAACTCCAAAATTTCTATTTGGTTCTTTTTCATCATTTCTCTTTATTGATAATATCTACTTGGTGAGGGGCTGGCCCGGTGGTGCACTGCTACAGTGCACCGCTTGGGAGTGCGGTGGCGCTCCCGCCGAGGGTTTGGATCCCACATACAGACCAGCTGCTCGCTGGCTGAGCGAGGTGTGGGTGTGACACCGAGGGTTGCGATCCGTTGCCAGTCACGAAAAAAAAAAGACAAAAAAGGGGAAAAAAAAAATCTACTTGGTGAGACATTGTTCTCATGTTTTAAAATTTTTAGACACAGCTTAGTTCTTTGAACGTATTCATAATAGCTGATTTGTCTATTAAGTCCAATATTTGGTTTTCCTCAGCAATGTTTTCTATTGACTGTTTTTTTCTCCCTTATGTATGGGCCCTGTTTCTTTGCATGTCTCATATTTTGTTGTTGATGTTAAAAACTGGATGTTTAAAATAATATAAAATTTATATTATTAATGTAATATAATATGAAACTCTGGAAATCACATTCTCCCCTCCCCAGTGTTTGTTGCTGTTGTCATTGCTGTGTTTCCTTATTGATTTTTTTGGACTAAATCTGTAAAGTTTGTATTCTTTGTTTTTTGTGGCCAGGGAAGTCTTGCTAATGATTGGAAAGAGATTTCTCAGATGCCTTGAATCGATGTCTCCCAGCCTTTGCTGAAGGGTTGTGTGTGCGCATGCTTTCAACAGTCTGGCAGACAGTTTACAACTCTGCCGTAGTCTTCACTTTCTGCTTGCACAGACCCTCAAGGTTAGCCAGAAATGAGAGATTAGTGCCTTCTCAGGTCTTCCCTGGGTATCTGCACAGCCCTCATCATGAAGCCCTGCACATGAGTGTAGCCTCCTAGATTCCTAGGAATATGTCAGCTCTTTTGAAAACCCTTTATGGACATCTTATTCCCCAGGCTTTATTGTTTTTGGTCAGCCTCTGGTTAGCCCCAGTTGGTAACACCACCATAGGCAGGTGCAATGTTAAACAACTGCTGCTGATTGTTTTCAGCAAATGTCGTGGTGATAGGGCTGTTGTTGCTTGCACAGTCAGCTTTGAATCAGATCAGATAAAGAAAACACCCAACCCAAAGTAGCTGCCGGAAAGGTCAAATAGTGACAGTTCTCTAGGGATGAAGCTTTAGGTAAACTTTAAACCCACTCTGCCCTTCCAGTGGCTGCTAGGCTATTGGTTTTCATAGCTACAGTAGTTGCAAAGCTTTTGGTGCTCAGGCTGGTTTTCAGATCATAGATCTGAGGAGAGAGGTATGAGATTAGGGCACATTAATCATTAGAGCTACAAAACTCACTGTTCTTACTGAGATCCAGCTGTTTTTCTTGAATAAATACTCCAGATTATTGCAAACCTTTAATTTCAGGAATTCTAAAAGAAGTGAAAAAACTTTACGGTTTTTGCCAGCATTTGCCTTGCTTTTATGGAGACTTTTTGGAGGTCCCCACTCTGCCATTCTGGAAGTTTCTCCTATATTACAAATTTTATAATGTAGTTTGTAGCATTTGATTTTAATGTATTGGAAGTCTGTTATCGTAGGTGACTGGGACCTGTCTCAGCCTGTGAGAGGCCCCGATCTGTGCCATGGATGTGAACTTCTTGTAGAAATATTTCCTGATTTCAATTCTGAAAAACAAAATGCTCTATGTCCAGAAGGCTTGAGAAACCACAGGGTTTCTTGTCAGCAGATTTCAAGATAATGAAAAGAATAAAAGGGTAGAGCCACAATTAGACCTAGTTTTCTGACCCTAAAAATAGAATAATACTTTACAATGGTCTATAAAAATATAATAATAAAGATCATTTTAGTACATCTAAGGTAAAAAAAAAAAAAAAAGCAACCTCCCTTTTCCTGAATTGTAGCAATCAAGTTCCGGTTCTAAGACTCAAGTTCAGAGGCTGTTTCTCCCTCCTACCATGACCAATACAATACATAATACAATTTCTCAGAGATTGTCTCATCATTTGTAAAATGGAGATAATATCTGATAGCATTGTTGTGTAGAGGGGAAATAAGATAAGATACAAAGGTACTTTTGAAACAAAATGCCATGCTCAGCATATACACATGATATCGAATTGTGTTATGAGAACAGTTATCAGGTGATTTAAATAAACTCTTATTTAAATAAGGACTAGATGTTACAATATGTAACTTGAGCATTTAACAGAAATATTTAAAAATGAAGAACATTTTACAAAATTTCCTCTTGTACTATGTAAATTTCTTTATAAAAGCTGATTTACCTTTTAACATGTTTTGAATAGTTCAAAAGTCAAAACTAAAAAAAAAGGGGCACATAAGACGTCTTTCTCCCACCCCTGTCCCTTCTTCCTTGTTCCCTTGTCCTGCTCTGTATGGAGAAAACATTGTTTCCTTTCCTGTCAATATTCTCTTATTCAAATGTGAGAAAACATGAATATGCATATTTTCTAAATTTTATCTTATTTGCAATATCATTGTGAAGTACATTGTAATCACCATTTTGTTGATCATCAGTGGCCAAGACATTAAGTTACACAGCCAGTAGCAGGCCTAGGACTTGCTGATCTCAAGGTACCCACAGCAACCTTGTTTATCTGCCTGGTGAACTTTCTGGGAAATAAGGTAAGTCTTCCAGAAAACTGTATGTAGAACTGTGTTAAAAATATCTGCCTTTCAGATTGGTGGACCAGACACTGTCCGGCTGACTTCTCGTTTGGGGAACGAATATGTCAACATCATGAACATGCTTCTTTTAACACTCCCTGGAACTCCCATAACTTACTATGGAGAAGAAATAGGAATGGCAAATATTTTACCCACAAATCTCAATGAAAGCTATGATACTGTAAGTTTAATACAGTTTAACCATGTACCACAGCTGTAAAACCAAGTGCTTGTTTTTTGCCAGATCGGGGGATTTACTATTTCTTTTTTTTTTTTTTTTTTCCTTTTTGTCTTTTTCCGTGACTGGTAACAGGATCGCAACCCTCGGTGTCGCGCCCGTACCGCGACCGACAATGGGATCACAACCCTTGGTGTCACGCCTGCACCGCGCTCAACCAGTGAGCGGACCGCTCTCTATATGGGATCTGAACCCTCAGCGGGAGCGCCACTGCGCTCCCAAGCCCCGCACTCTACTGAGTGCGCCACGGGCCGGCCCAAGGGATTTACTATTTCTATTCCATTGCTGAAAACCATGGTTACTTTGCTTTTCTTCCTTACTGTTGGACAGTAAGAATTCTCAGCTTCCTTGGTGGTTGGAGAGCTTATTAAAAATGCTTTCTGAGCCGCACAATTGAATTTATTCGGTAGAGCCCAGGAATCTGCATTTTAAAGATGCTTTCCAGCTGATTCTTAGGCACACTAAAATTTGAGAACTAGTGGTTTAGTTTGGAATAGTATTCATTATCCTCTACCTGAAACATGGACAGTTAGGAACACATTTCTTTAATTCTTATTTGTCCTGCTAGATCTCATGTGACTACAGCACGAAGACTTCCTTTTATGTTACCAAGTGTAATGCACAGCCTCCAAGTTGAATGGTTTTTTATTTGAGGCTATGGATCTTATAATGGGTTGCTGGGTAGATAACTGGTCTTAAACATTTTATTTGTCTGGTTAGCTTTCAATTGTATGAGATCCAATTTCCCTAATATTTGTTGAAGGTGAAACTTTTTCTTTCTCAGCTCATAAATTTGTGTGTGTGTGCTCATGTGCAATAACCAGGCTGGATAAGCAAGCTGGACAGAATTCAGGCTCACTTGTACATGGCAGCGTCCTTGAATTCACTATCACTGTATCACAGTAGAATGAAGTAACATGAGTCAGTAATGGCACATTTTGAAATCCTACCCTACTCAATTTTAGGGAAAAGCAGCAAAAATTCTATGCATGTATTAAAGTTCAGTTCAAGATGTTACTAGCTATTTTCAAATTTAAAGTGTGAGGGCCGGCCCGGTGGCGCACTGCTACAGTGCGCCGCATGGGAGTGCGGTGGCGCTCCCGCCGAGGGTTCGGATCCCACATACAGACCAGCCGCTCACTGGCTGAGCTAGGTGTGGGTGCAACACCGAGGGTTGTGATTCCGTTGCCGGTCCCGGTCCGGTCCGGGCACAACACTGAGGGTTGCAATCCGCTGCTGGTCACGAAAAAAGACAAAAAGGAAAAAAAAAAAATTTAAAGTGTGAAACTGGTTTATGCACTGAATGTTAAGGCCTTGTCATCACGAATGCTAATGAACACAATCACTAGCTAAGAACTATAGAGAATTAAATAATTATGAAGTGAATCAGTATCGAAGTGTGTTTCTTTTATTAACCAGATCACTGTTTTCTCTTTCTGCTCTTTTAACATAGAATACCCTTCTCTCCAAGTCACCAATGCAGTGGGACAATAGCTCAAATGCTGGTTTTTCTGAAGGCAATCACACCTGGTTACCCACCAATTCAGATTACCACACCGTGAATGTTGACGTAAGTATCAATGAGAATTTTGTGCTAATTCTAGAAACAAGAAATGGGTTTATGTACTGACAACATACACTAACCCTGAGTATGTCTAAAACCTTAACTGACACTCTTTAAATGAATCATAGAGTTCTTGCAGTTTTCAATTTGTAAGGAATTTGCAATTCATGTTTTTGTGAAAATACAAACTGGTACATAAGTTTACCATCTGAGTATCATACAGAATATACAAGTCTTCATTGGAATGACTTTTAATAAGACCAATGAGCCACAAAGGCAACTTGATGGAAGTCTTTCAGTGAGCCCAGCTACTTTTCTTCCTCTCTTCCCCTCAAAAGGCAGGGAGGGAGGGAGGCAACTGCATGGGCAGGCTTGCAGGACATCAATCAATCTAGGGTAATGTGGATTTAAGAGCAAGACTATTTACCTGAAAAAACAGAAGACATGAATAATCCCTAAAGTGGCTGTTCTGGAAAAGCATATCCTTTAGCTTTTGCCTGTACTTTTTTCTTTTCTCATAGTGAACAAGCACTAGTGTCATGTACTAGTGAAATCTCACTGCAAACAATCTAAATCAATTTAGGGGAAGAGAATTATTGACATCACATGAGTATACTTAAGAAATTTATAGCACTCTCTCGTCCCAATCTACTAAGTAACCTGAAAACACTCCCCAGGTTATTCTGATATAGAACTCCACACAAACCCTCCTGTTTCCACAACTTGCTGTTCCAAGCCATCATTGAGAATTCCTAGATAGTATAAACTTTGTTTTATATGTTTGTAAGTTTTGAAATAGATATTTAAAATTTTTTTGGATTAAATGCCTCTATTGATTTACATTATGTCCAAAATGTTCCCATAGACCAATTTGAATCTAATAGGTAAGAAACCCTATGTAAAAATGCACACCAGCAAAGATGGAAATATGTAAATGCAAATTTTAGCAATGTTTTTGAAAATCATCACAGGTGATGCTTGGAGGTATGCTAAATCATATCCATAAGTCCCAGGCAATGCCATTTTAATAAAATACATCCATAATAGCCCTTGAAAGGAATGATACCACTAACAGATGAGAATTTAATTTTTAAAAGAAAGTAAAATCAGCATTATAGAAAAACAAGAGCATAGAAACTGGAGTCGACAACAGGAGAAAATAGCTCTAACAGGTACAGCTAAAAAAAGCACTGTAGGAATTTCCTAGACTGCTACAATTGGCCACAGCAGGATTTTCCTAAGGGGGAAAAATCCAAGGCCTGTGATCACATGCCTATTGGAATGAGTACAGCAAAGCTTGAAATAGGGTCAAACTTCTACAAGTGCAGCAGAAGAAAGAAAGACAGACCTAATTCTAGTGCTGTTCCCAGGCTATTTCATTTCAGAAATGAGAGCCTTTGCTACTCAGCTCACAGAGGCCAGGAGAGGAGGGCAGGACTCCAGCTAGCTTATTACCCTACGTAGGAAAAGAACCCTACATCCCAAAGGCAAGCCAGACCCACATCCAACTCGGCTTCTCAAGATTATGAAAAGCAGACAACTGAAGACAGGCAAGCAAGGAAGACCAAAACAAAAGAGTAAACAAATCACCAATAAACAGAGAGAGGCACCATTCCTAATAGAACACTGTAGAAAGCAGAGGAAAGATAGCAGCAAACATAAGACTTCACTATAAATATAAATATCCCCAATGGATTGTTTTTATGGAGCTCCTAGACATTCTTTAAAGAAGTGATTAGTCTCTTAGAAATGTAAGATATTGTCAAAGTAAACAATGAAATAGGATAGAAGTGCTAATTAGTGTGCTGGAAAACTGATCTAGGGGTTTGTCCCAGAATGCACTAAAAAAAAAGGAGAAAAAAGTTTTGATACGTGGAGGACAGATCCAGAAATTTCAACAAAAAGTTACAGAGATACAAGAAAAAAGATCCAAAAACACAATAACAAAAGATCCTGGAAGAGAACAGAGACTGCAGGAAACATAATCAAAGTAATAAAACACATGTAATAACCCAGAGATAAAGGAAGACTTAATTTTTTTCTAGAATGGAAAGGATAAGGAGACAAGTCCCACAACTATTCAGTAAGAAACCAAGCCTGAAAATACATTGCCCGAGAAAAGAACTGAGAATTGGACTGGCATCAGACTTCACAGCTGGATGCTAGAACATATCAGAACTTTATCTTCAAAGCTGTAATGGAAACTTAATTTTAAACTGAGACTCCTATATCCATTCAAACTAGTATTTAAGAGTATGAGCAAAATATAGATGAATAAGCAAGGACCTAGATTTTACCATGTGTAGTTACTTCATGAAAGAATAATCTGGGGACTCCAGCAAAACCAAAAATGAATCTGAAAGGGACACATGTACAAAAAATAGTGAGGAAAGGAACCAGCAAAACTTAAGGATAAATAATTTCTTTTCTTTTTTTTTTTTTTTTAAAAGATGACCGGTAAGGGGATCTCAACCCTTGACTTGGTGTTGTCAGCACCACGCTCAGCCAGTGAGCAAACTGGCCATCCGTATATGGGATCCGAACCCGTGGCCTTGGTGTTATCAGCACCGCACTCTCCCGAGTGAGCCACAGGCCGGCCCAAGGATAAATAATTTCTGATGCATGATGTAAAATAAGGTACTCTGCAACAAAAATCTTAGTGACATTTCTATATGGGAAGGGTTGGCAAGGAGAGCGGGGGGGGGGGGGGGGGGG